TTTTTTTGCTGTTTGGGCCCCCACCGGCAGTTCACTCACTTGCTGGTTCGCCGGGGCTTGCACAACAACAAAAAGCAGCAAGAGCAACAAAAAAAACACCCGTTCCACGGCTGCAGCCGTAGCCCATGTTGGAAGGCAAGGTAACGGGGCCAAGCCTGCAACAAACGATGCAACACCCTCGGATGCAAACTCAGCACCTCCACAACCCTTCACACGGGAGTCAACTTGCTTAAAGTACTTAAGTACGTGGGCTTGGCTAATTATTCAATATCCAGAGCAGATAAAGTGATGACCGCTTGAGTAGCTGTGGCTACGGTGTGGAACACCTCAACACAGAGCCGAAGTTGCAAGAACACAGGAAATTCCACAAGTAGCCATGTACTCTCAAGCCAATCCAGAGCCCCTACTTCCCTAAGCTACAGGTGAAAAGCTAATGCTGGCTCTCCACCTCCCCATCCGCTGACATCGCATAAGGTTGTACATGAATCTGCTGGTCTTCTGGCTGGGGCTATTGTGCTCAGTGCTTAAGCCTTCTACACGCTCTGTGTACCCGGCCGAATTCGAAGTCAGCTTGGGCTTCGGTCTGATCTGATCTTATTTGAAGCCACAATAACTAGACTAACTAGATATAACTAGCTTGAAGCTAGGCTAGGCAAGCCCCACATACATCAAGGAAGGAGAAGATGCTTCGAGCGAAATGCGCCTGCTCCAAGTTCAGCGGTGACGTCACGATCCTGGGTTCTTGTAGTGGCTTAGCCCCCATTTATCCGGATGTGCTCCCTGAAACTGTCAGATCATCCTCACATAGCCCAGGTTCTCGTTGCAGTGGAATTCCGGGAAGGGAAGGATATCTTCTCCGGATGGATACCTGGGAGGTCAGGATTTGAGATTGAGGGCCTTCGTCTTCCGAATGCTCATCAAGGTCCAAGTGCCTATGAAATGAGCCTGAGTAGATTCCAGAAACCAAGGTTCAGGATACGGGTGTGGGCTTCAGCTCAAGAGGTTTGGGCATACAGGTTTCTCGCCAATTTAACAGAAGCACTACTGACGCCCCACCACCACCACCACCACCACCACCACCACCCCAACACCACCACAGCCACCACGACCACCACGACCACCACCACCACAAAGCCACCACAGCCACCACAGCCACTACAGCCACCACCGCCACCACGACCACCACGACCAACACAACAACAAAACACCAAAACAACACACAACACACAACAAGCCGCACACAACAACAACAAGCCGCACACAACAACAACAA